AGATGTTCACTTACTGGGAAGGAGCCCCGGCAGCATAATGGTTAAGCACTTGGCTGCTAACTGAAAGGTTGGTGGTACAAACCCACCCAGCAGCTATGTGAGAGAAAGACCTGGCAATCTGCTCCCGTAAAGATTACAGCCTAGAAAACCCTATGGAGCAGTTCTACTCTGTCACATGAAGCTGCTATGAGTCAAAATTGACTCGACAAAACCTAACAACAACTACGTTGAGGAGTCCCTGGGTGGTGCAAATGGTTAATGTGCTTGGCTACTAATGAAAGGTTGGAGGTTCAAGTACACTCAGAGGTGCCTTGGAAGTAAAGGCCTGACAATCTGCTTTCAAAAATCAGCCACTGAAAACCCTCTGGAGCACAGTTCCACCTTGACATACATGGGGTCACCATGGGTAGGAATCAACTCAACGGCAACTGGTTCGTGCTTTGCACCGTGAAGTCTTGGGGTGCTTTGTACACAAATATAGATAACCAAAACACTCTTATAGATTCAAAGCACAGGAGTTCATGCTCTGCTAGTCCCTTCTAGTTGGTAATAACCTCCACAGTCAGGAAGTTGATCTTACAACAAATTTAAATCCTTTCTTCAGTATAAGTCTATAACTTCTTTATTTGACCTCTGAAGAGATGATTAACAGCTGGTTCCCCCTCTCACTTTATCATAGTCTTTCACATACTTGGATATATTTACTAAGTAGGTTTTCAGCTTTTTCTTCTTTAAGTCAAATATTCTCAAATCTTTGTAGATCTTTTTACCTTTCTTCATCTTACTTTATACTCACGACCATCTAAAAACGGATGTTAACAGCTTTTGGAGAGATGGAGGACAGAGTCATAAAACGAGAGCCTTAGATCAAAATAATAACAATCTTTTTGGCATTTAAGGCACTTTATGGTATACAAAGCATTTTCACCTGTATTATCTCAGGATTCTCATAACTACTCAGTGATATGAATAAGGTGAACATTTGTTCCTGCTTATTAAAGGATCATACTTGTTAATGGCTGAACTGGGGCTGGAATTACCAGTATATGGACAAGGACAGAAACACAATTGCAAAGAATAAAATCAGCTGATTTGTTTGAATGGTGAATTGTTTTTTCTTCAATTTCCATTTATTATTATAGTTTTGACTTTTCAATAAATACATCAGAATATTTTTAAAGAGGAAAACATGTTTGTCATTGAAATACTGGGGCTTTACAAAGTGTTTGGACAGTTTAGAAATATTTTAAAGTATGCTGTTTTTAAACATAAATAACTCAGGTTGTAAGCACAACAGAAACTAAATAGGGAATTTTCTTCTCTCTGGGGTCATAGACTTCAAACTTTCAACTTCCAGAAAAAGGGTAGAAAATTTGGCGTGCTCAGA